AAACCCCAACTTTCTCTTGAATGTAAAAGAAGAGCAGTGATTGGCACCCCCAGTACGGAGGCATCCCAGCACCTCATCTTCACGTGGGGGGCTGTGAATCAAGAGAAAGTAAAAAAAAAAAATTTCAACCAATCACATGCTGTTACATCACTGAAAGTCATTGGAGTCTTTTAAAATTGGGGTTCCAAAGCATTTTTGGTAAAAGAATTCAAACATCTACAGTAAGGAGAGGAACAAATTACCCACCAGGGTGGCCACCTTGATGGTGTTGTCTGGCATTTTTGTGTTTGCATTTCCACTATCTTTTTATTGTGAAGTTGAACCCACTTTCAATCTCTTATCCATCTACAGGATTGAAACTGAAATTTTAATGGTTTTTCAAATTGAGAAATTGAGAAATTACTAAATTATGAAATTAAAAAATTTCTCAATTTTGCTAAATTAAATATAAAAGAAAAAAAAAACTAAATTCTTTTTTTTCACAATATTTTATATCAATTTTTTATTTTTATTTTAAAAAAAATTATTAATTACTACTCTAGAACGTTGTCATAAGTACAACTACAACTATAAAATGATATAAACATGAGAAGCTTTCATATTGACACTTCATTATAAAGAAGATCTATGGGGCTGAAAATAAGGCATGCAAGATTGTTGGGAGCATTTAGTTTGACGTCGTCGTTTCTACAAAGGCTAAAGTCCTGGGAAAATGCTTGGGGATGTAGCACCAAAGTCTTGACTCAGCCTTTTTTCAATTTTTCTTTTTTCTTTTTTTTTTTTTTTTTTTTCACAAACAACTACCCACTAGTCAGTCTTTTCATTTATTTTATTTATTTTCCCATATTTACCCACTACTCTTTTTCATTTTTTCTTTCCAAGACAAACAAAAATTATAAATTAATTAGATTAATATTTTTTTGCACTGTAATTTTTTATCATCGTAATTTAAATTTTGTAATATTGAAATACTATTTTACATCACTTATCACTCAATGACACTTGACATATCATTTCTTAAAATCTTGACAAAAAAAATTCATTAACTTATATAATTTGAATCAATAAAGGGAGAGACTTTTCTCCCCTTCATATTAAGCTAAGTTTGGGATGTTAAAAAAAAATTAAAAAAGTCAAAAGTTACTATCCTATTTAAGTCACATCATCTTATATAAGTCATATCCACCTCTCTACCACATCACTTCAAACTCAACTCCATATTTCAAAAAAGTCAAAAAATTACACTTATTTTAGAACATCCCAAACAACCCTAAATTAGAAGATATTGTTAGACTTCTATGGACTCACCAATAAATTAATATCGATAATCTATATCATTTAATGTTGTAGGATTCTCTCCGTACTTTATCTTTACAAAAAAATATATTAAATCGGATATCGATAGTCATTAATAAAACTATATTTGTGTCAATGATAAATATAATTTTGAAAATAAATTATTAATTCAAATATAATCTGATCAAATAATTATTAATACATGATTAACATAATTTTTTTAAAAATAAAATATTTGACAAATCCTATACATTTAAAGATTTAGGTCTCGTTTAGAAATATATTACTTTAATAATTATTTAACTTTTTATAAAACAAATATATAAAAAAATAATAAAAATAATATGATAACTTATAATACTTTAGGTGTCGTTTGGTAACACTTTACGTTTTCAGTTTTCTGTTTATATTTATAAAATTTTAAAAATTCAAATAAAACTTGTGTTGGTAAAATTTTTGATTTATAAATCAGTGGTCTCAGTTTATAAATTTGGCCAAAAAAATGAAAACACAAAAAATATGTTTCCGTTTTGAGTTTTTAGTTTTTTTTTTTTTTTACCACCCAATACTAGCCACCACCCGCAACCATTTTCACCACCGTCTTCCGCCCACACCACTCACCACCCACCTGCTGACCACCAGCCACCACCTGCCACCACTAGCACCCACCAGCACCCACCCACCTGCCAGCCCACCACTACCACTTACCGCCCACCACTCACTTGCCGCACCACCACTCACCACTCACCTGCCGCACCATCCACCACCTGCCCGGCCAACCGACACCAACCACCTGCCACCACCCGCTACCCACTCTGCCAACACCACCACTACCACCACCAACTACCCACTCGCACCACACCACCTACCGCTTATCGTCATCCCACCACCACCACCACCACCCGCCTACCTACCCCCACCACCCACCACCACCACCCAAGCAACCCAGCCAACTACTCGCCATCCGCACCCACCTGCCGCCACCACCTACTACCCGCCACCACCAGCCACCCACCACCACCGCCCACCTAACACCCACTCGCCACCACCATCCACCACCACCACCACTCACTCGCCACCCGCCTGCTACCACCACCCACCACCCGCCACCACCACCACCAACTCGCTACCACCCACCACCCGCCACCGTCACCACTTTTCACCACCGTCTTCGGCCACCACTTGCCACCACTTGTCATTTCTCACTCTTTTTTATATTTTAAATTTTTTTTAAACACTTTGTCAATTACCAAACGCGTTTGTAGTTTATGTTTTTCTAAAAATAAATAAAAAACAAACAAAAACCAGTTTATAAAATTTTTGTACATATAAACTGAAAACGTAAACGTTACCAAACACACCTTACTTTTTAACTAAAATCAATATCACTCTTAGGCCAAGTTTGGCAAGTTGCCAAAAAGTCAAAAAGTCAAAAAGTTACTTAAAAAGTTAAAAAGTTATCACTATTCACCATAAGTCAAAAATTACAGCTGCACAACTCCCGTTCCTAATTTTTTCCTACACACTAATTTATACAATTTTTAATACACATTTTTTCATAAAAAATCAAAAAGTTAACCCAAACATCTATATTTTTTTCCTCAATTTTTTAGTCCAAAAAGACAAAAAATGCACTTACTTAGGACACTACAAACAATCCCTTATTATCAATATCATTTATGTAGTGGTGAGCATGGTCCGGATTGGACCGAATTGGGATAAAATCAGGACCAATTCGTTATCTACGGTTCCTGAAAAATTGAAACCAATCCAATCCGTTTAAATCGTGGAACCAATCCTAACCAATCCATTTAAACACGGATTGGATCGGTTTAGGACCACGAATTTACATAATTAAATAACAAAAAAATATATAACACTTTAATTTCAAAAAAATATAATTATAGCACCATATTAGTTTCACAATAACATGTCTTTTCATAACAGCGACATACTGTTCTAGAATTTAAACAACTATAAGAAAACTGGTTCAACCATAAGAAAACCGGTTCCAGCATAAGTATTTAGACCATTACAAATTAATATTAAAAACTAGCAAACAAAAATAATAAGAGAAGATACTATGTGAGTTTAGGTTTGGATTTAAATTTTATATAAAATAAGAGAAGATACTATGTGAGTTTAGTTTTGGATTTAAGTTTTATATAAAATAAGAGAAGATACTATGCAGGAAGGTGTATAATAAAAATATAGACTATTTGTATACAGTCTGGATCAGTTCCAATTCGGAACTGTGAGGTTCAATCCAGAACCAATACGTGAACTACGAATTTTTAATTTTTCAATCCACAACCGAATCACGAATTCAAAAAATTAATCCAAAACTATTAAATTGAACTGAACTAAATTAAATTACGAATTTCACGAATTTTTTGCTCAGTCCTAAATTATGTCGTGGGTAGCCTGAAGTGGAATAACGCCCTCCCATCATTAAAATATCAAGTTGGGAATTGAAAAAGGTACCAAAACCCGCAGCATCATTTTTCTAAATTTGAGACCACATCTAATTTCTAATCAAGATAATGAAAACCACGCTCTACCATGGGGTGTCGAATATACGCACCAATAACGTCCAAGTGAGTGAATTGGTTCCCGCTAACAAAAGCAAAGATACGAACAGGTGAAGCGCGTAGAGTCAACGATCACATGCACTGTCGTGGTGTATATTGGACTTAGGAATATTGCTTTGAGCTTGATTACAGCAGGTTGCTGTGGTCGGAGATTTTCCTGAGTATTTTTTAACCATTTGAATAGTAAGATTTGTCGAGTTTTTAATTTATGTACAAAAATTAAATTAATTAAAAATTTGTAACTCTAGAAATCGATTCGAATTGTTCTAAAAAAGTAATTATATTTTATTGTTTAAAAAATAAATGTATTCTATTCTAAAGTTATAGATATTTAATTAATTTAATTTTTTATATAAATAATTTATCTATCAAACTTTACAATATGAATAATTTAAATTATCAAAAAATATTCGAAAAAGTCCCACTAGATCTACAGGACCCTGCATAGTAGTACTGCTTCTTCTAATATTTTTTTTTAATTTTTATTTCTAATAAAATAGAAGAGAGAGATAATGAGAAGTGAAAGAGTAAAGTTTATTTTATATAATTAGGAAGCATTTTTCGGATATTGAAGTATCCCCAATTCCGGTGTAGACAACGCTATCGGACACCGTTAGATTAAAAGATGCGTTTTGTCAACTTCGAGGCTGTTCGTGTCAAAACCTAGACTCAATCACTCTCCCTCTCTCACACACACACACTCACTCTCTCTCTCTCTCTCTCTATCCTTCAATTCCATACTCCATTGTTTTACACCACACGCCATATAGCCCAAGACCTGTTGCACGCCTCATCCAATTCTCGATCTTATATTACAATTACGATTTCGTTTTGGGAATAAGTTAATTTAGTAATTTTTTAATTATTTAACTAAAAAAATAAATAAAAAAAATTTATATATTTAGAATAATTTTTTGGTTAATTACGAAAAAATATGCAAAAAGTAAAGAGAAAAGAGAATCTTTAACTTTTTGATATAAGTTATTAATTTTTTGATTAAAAAGATAATTTTTTGACTTTTTAACTAAAAAAATAAGTCCCCAAAGAGATTTAGATTACATCACCATCCATATCACAATATTAACATGCATATTCTTCCATCTTTAGAGAGAAAAAGTGGAAAGAAAGAGAAAAAAAAAATGAGTCAACAAGATGGAGAAGCAATTCCAGCCGACCATCTGTTCAAAATCGATTTTGTAAATGATCATTGATTTGTACTACAACGTTTTAAATCGATTTTTGTGTGTACTACCTTTGTTTTGTAGTACAACACAGAATAGTATTCCCATTCTTTTAACATGTTGAGTTTGTTTACATTCATCACCTATAAATTTACTTACTCTCCTTTGCTAATTTGCGCACTGAATAATCCCAATTTTGAGAATTTAGTGATTTGATTGAAATACAAAAAGTAATGGGCTTTTGGGTTTAATTTCTTTTTTTTTCTTTTTTTCTTTTTTTTCCCTGGAGAGTCTCTGTTTATGTAAATGCAAAGGAAGCCAGAGACCCATCTGGTGGTTCGGTGTTGGTGATGATTTGACCCTTTTGGCGACCTTTTCTGGTTTTCTTTTTTTTTTTTTTTTTTTCTAAAGATTTCTCAACACATACATTAATTTCGAGAATTACCCAGGTGAGAAATCACTCATGTTTACTCTGTTTCACTTCTTCAAATTCATTATGAGTACATATATATATATATATATATAAGTTTTGTTCATGATTGAATTAGAAAAAGGTCAAGACTTTGATCATTCAAATGGGGAACATGGGTGTGGAAGAGTCGAGCCAAATTCAGAGAGAAGACGCAGAAGAGGTGGCAAATGAGGCGGTGCCAGAGGAAGACGTAAAGAGAACTCCGCCGTGGAGAAAACAGATCACAATCAGAGGAATTATAGCAAGCTTACTGATTGGGATCATTTACAGTGTGATAGTAACGAAGCTCAATCTCACAACAGGACTCGTTCCTAATCTCAACGTCTCGGCAGCTCTTCTTGCCTTTGTGTTCATCAGAACATGGACGAAGCTGCTTCAAAAGGCCGGGATTGTCTCAACTCCGTTCACTCGACAAGAGAATACCATAATTCAGACATGTGCAGTGGCATGTTACAGCATTGCTGTTGGAGGTTCGACATTGAAACTTTTTAGATTGATTGATTGTTCATTTCAATATATGAAATTTGCTAAGTTTTTATCTTTTGGGGATTTGTAGGTGGCTTTGGGTCATACCTGTTGGGATTGAACAAGAAAACATATGAGCAGGCAGGGGTTGATACGGAGGGGAATCCACCAGGGAGCTATAAGGAACCTGGGGTTGGTTGGATCCATTTGAATAGTAAGATTTGTCGAGTTTTTAATTTATGTACAAAAATTAAATTAATTAAAAATTTGTAACTCTAGAAATCGATTCGAATTGTTCTAAAAAAGTAATTATATTTTATTGTTTAAAAAATAAATGTATTCTATTCTAAAGTTATAGATATTTAATTAATTTAATTTTTTATATAAATAATTTATCTATCAAATTTTACAATATGAATAATTTAAATTATCAAAAAAT